AAAGAGAAGTTCCACTTCCTGCAGTACATTATTAATCCACTAGAGGGCAGAACACAGGTCTCTTAAATACAACAGGTTTTTGAGGAAAATATGATCACATTGACAAAATATAGATCACAAAATAGCAAATATGAAACAAAAGGTGATACAGAAGATCATACATGATGTCAAAGTAGGACCTAAAGGACTACAGCTCTGTCTCTCCACAAAACACAAGTTTCAAACTCTAACATGAAAGCCAGCAGGTGAAGCGATGCTAGGCCTTTATTGTTGTGATGCAGGTCTGAAATATTGACTATTATTAACAAATTAAATATGTTTATGAGAGGCCATTTATTATGTGCTCACAAAGTCTTCATTAAACCAAAAATCCAAGTCAATAAAATATCATTCTTTTYAGCATTTTCCATATTTCTCTTTCTTTCTTGAATTTGTTGCAAAGCAAACTGCCTACAAAAAAAAGCTTTTTGTTTTTTGTTCATGTTTGTTTAAAGATGATGATAAACTCCACATGTGCACATKGTTGATTTGTGTTTTAACGTGCAGGTGGAACAAGGCTGTGCTCCTCCAAACGGGAACAGACCAGCACCAGCGGTCCAGATGCCTGGTTCTGAGACTTTAAATGGCCTCCCTGGTCCACAAGACACCGGGTTCTACCTCTGAGAACACGACAGGTCCGATTGGGCAGCAGGACGATGTGACGAGACTCAAACGGACAGGAGCAGCCTTTTTACACCCAGAGCAGACAGAGGATGGTTCTGCTCTGTTGTTCAGATGTGTTTTCTGATCATGATGTTAGAGAGAGAGACGTGTTTCAAGTCACATTATCATAGAAGTTCTTTGTTTACGGTTAGTTTTTTTTTTTTTTTTGACGCATAAAGTGTCTTGAAAAAAAGTCTTCACACCTCTTAAAGTTTCTAAATGTTTACATCCACGAACATGCTGAGATTTGATGTGATAAATAAAACCAGTAGTAGTGCATATTTGTGAAGTGGAAGAAAAATGAGGAATTGTTACCCATTGTTTTTTTTTAAACAAATAAAATCTGAGAACTGTATCCATCTTTTATTCAGTCATCTTTACTTTAATACCTCTGTACAAATACCTGCCTTCAGGATTTGTCTAATTAGTCCACATGTGTGTGTTTTAATCGCAGAACTAATCCAGCTGTGTGACGGTCTCAGAGGTTTGATACAGAAAATTAACAATCAAGCAGGATTAAGAAGACAATAGAACAGAACAGACAAGTTGAGGAGAAAGATGTTGATGTATAAAGAAAAGTTAGGTTAATCCTACTGGTGGGTTTGTAAAGGTCTGTACTGGATTTCAATACAAATTAAGATCTTCATAAAGAAATTTCTCACAAGCAAAAGGCCAGAACAAAAACACACAAAATATATATATTAGGGGTGCAACAGTACATGTACCCGTATCGAACAGAGCTTTAGTTTCAATACACACTTGTATCGAACAATACAGAGTTTTAACATTTACTTTATCAACTTGTCTTCTGAAGATGCTCTGTGTTGAAGGATCAGTGGATCTGTGTTCGACTACTCCACCTAGGCTGCATTTTTGAGCGCAGATCCACTGAGAAACTTGCTGTTTCAGCAACATTTAATTAAAAACACTGTACTTTTGAGGTTAAACAAATGTTCATAATTAATATAAATAAATTACAAGTTAAAAGGGGTACGTAAATTTCTCTTTTTTGTATCGAAAAATATCGAACCGAACCGTGAATTTTCTGGGGTGCAACAATACATGTACCCGTGTCGAACTGTATCGAACAGTGCTGTATCGAACAATAC